TATATGCTCCTAATATACAATCTAAACACCTATATGAAACTTAAAACACTAATATGATTAAAAAAAGAATATTAAAAGCCATTAAAAACACTATATATCAACTCCCCCAAAGTAGATCTTTAATTATCCACAAGTAAACTTTTAAAACCAAACAAGGGAAGGTATTTAAAAAATGAGAACATAAATTTTAGAGTAACAACAAAAACATTCAACTCAATGTCCATCCAAGTAGTTTTAAAGTGCACCAATGATCTCTACTTTAAAAGAGCTAACCATACTCATCACTCATATATTGTTTTAGAGCTAAACTTTCAATTTAATAGCAAGAAACCAATAGAACTCAACTCTTTAACATTCATTAAATGTTTGGTGAACTCTCTCTATGAACTTAAATCACAAACCAATGGGCTAGGTGTCAAAGAGGCAAAGATGACTTTTAAAGTGAGGTTTATTCAATTTCTCTATGGCTTTCACTCATGAAAAAAAGATGCATAAGCTAATTGCAAAAGTAAGAAGAAGAAGAACAATTCATGCATACAAGTATTCACTTCCATGTTCTACCATTTCCTAATTATATATCTACAATCCCAAACCATAAATATCAAACCTAAAACACTTATCTCACCCTCAAACTCACTCTTTTTCACCATTTTACTACTTAGGAAACTTTTCTTCTTTTCATTATATTGCTCTCTTTTCTTTTATACTCTTTATTCCTTTTTTTTCTTTTTTTAGAAGATATCATTTTTTTTTTACTAGAGCTTTTCTTTCTATCACATGCTTCCTAAGTTTCTTTTTTTTTTTTTTTTCATTCACCCTTTTTTGGTTCTTTTTACTCTTTCCTTGCTTTCACTCATTCTTATTTTCTCTCTTCTCATCACATAACCTCACTCTTAAATAATCCCATCAAACCCCAATCCTAACCAATCAAAGCAATTGGTATATGGAAGCTACTACTTGTTGTTCCTCTATCATTCAAAATTTTACACTAGAATGCATCATCAACAAGAGGCCTCACTCATCAAACAATCAAGGGGCAAATAAAAAGGGGTTAGGGTTCAAGGTGAGGTACCATTTAGTGATGCAAATGGCCATTCAAGCTTGTAAGAAAGTCTAAAAATGGATAAGCAAACTTGAATGTTCTATTGTTACCAAGAGTGAGCAATTCAAGCTTCAAGAAAGAGTAATTATATGTTCATTTAAGTTCAAGTTCATAGAGTTGAGCTACAAGGAAATCATGCATCTACAAATGAGTTCAACTTTCAAGCTATGAGATCCAAGCATGGTTCTTCCTTAACTTCATGTTCATTTAAATGCAATAAACAACTCCAAGGATGGGCACTGAATCAAACTCTTAAGTTGTTACTCACCAACAAAAGTTCATTAAGACTCTTAATGCATATGCAATGCAATCTTAATATGCACTAGACTCAATCCTAAAATGCATATGAGAAAAGATTCTACATGCTTATTTTTCAAAAATTTTAAATTTTTAGGGTTTTTTAATACAAATAAATATGTACAATGCAATGCATGAGATGCATGACAAGTAAACAAAACAGAAAACAATGTTAGATAGTAGACTCTCCCCCAAACTTACTTCACACAGACTCTTCTGTGATAGTAAACTTGAAAGAGAGATCAAAGGAAAAATAAAACATGATGAACTAAGTATTTACAAAGGTAGAATGCACGTACTTGAAGTTGGCCTTGATGAGAGGAGGGAATGAGGAAGGAGAGCTTACAGTGACCTTGGTAATGTCGACATGACTTCCTACAAGATTTAGAACTCCCCCCCAAACTTGTCCCTAAACTTATTCAAACATATTAAAGCAAGATAAAAGATAAAGAGAAATATATACAAAGGATAAACATGGGAATGCCTCCCAAGTGCGCTTGTTTTAAGTCTCTAGCTTAACTTTGTGTGTTTGCTAATCATAAGTATCAAAAGGCTGAGCCAATGCACCTTTGATCCTTCTCCTACAAGAACAAGAAACAAAGTGTGCAAAGGAGCACACTACTGTCCATAGAAAATAGACAGATTTTTCATCAAAGAGCTTCACTAAAGATATATCATGAATCATGAGATGCTCTTTGAGGTTCAAATGGTCATGAGAATCAAATGCATTTGGTGGAAAAACATAGTCAACTAGAGGTTCAAATGAAGTTTTAACAAAGTAGTCAACTCTATCTCCATCAATCAAATAAAGCAAAATATTCACATTCTCATGATTATTTTTAATATGGGGGCTTTCTATCTCAAGCAAGAGCTTATCCACATTAAGTTCATCCCCTAAATCACTTAACTCAAGAAGAGGTCTAGATTTATCAAGCATCAAAAACTCAGATTCGAGATCAATTGAGCACAAAGATAATTCTTGTCAAAATAAACTTCAATGTGATCTCTAGCAAGTTTTTCTACTCTCAAGTCATCTAGTTTCCTAGTTTCACATATCAGATCAAGACATTCATTTAAAAGCACCAGAGAATCAAGATTAGGGACAATGTTCTCACCACAAGGCAAGCAAATTTCTTCAAGTTGAAGTTGTAAAGAGGAAATTGTTGTACCTTCCAGCTGGAGTGGTGGAATCCAATACATTACCTCATTAAGGGCACGAGCAACATCAAACTCATACTGAGTAACTTCCCTTCCTTCAAACTCTGCTCTATCCCTAATGAGGTGTATCCGGACCATTTGTGCTAGATATCTCATTGGTTTGCCCCAATACTGTCTCATTCTCTTAAGCCTTTGTAGCTCCACTCTTTGGTCTGGTGTGAGTATGCGTATATCAAAGGATGGTGGCTTCACATATGGCTGATCTTCAATGTGATCTTCAAATGTGTTTTCCTCTTCTTGTGGCTTCTCAAAGTAGCTTGAAGCCATCTCTACAAAAACAAAAGCTAGAAGAAAAGGTTAGTAACTAAACAAAGCAAAACAAAGGATAAGAAAATAAAGCTTAGCCTCAAGAAAGAATGAAATCCTAATGAAAGATCTATCTAGTTCCTCGGCAACGGCGCCAAATTTGATAAGGGTTTTTATGCCTTAGAGCAAATCGATTGTAGTATTTTAGATTGTCGAACCACAGGGAACTAGTGATCTAAGCACTAAGAGTACAAAAACTTTCCTAATCTAAGCAAATAGAGAGTTCGATTTGTAACAAGCTAAGGTTCCTAGAAATATAAACAAGGTGATCTCAAATCCAATCTAGAAACAATCACAAGAATTACTTTTAATCAAATGATAAGGTAAAATCCATGGGATTAAGGTAATTGATCTAAGCAATTAGTTTCCAAGTGAAGGTGCAAGCTTCAAGCAATCACAAGTCTCTATAGATCTAGACACTTGAATATACAAACTCTTTCTCAAGATGGATGCCCTTTTGCTTTCAAGCTTTAGGCATCAAATCTCTTTGGCCTAAATCAATCAAACAAACATTATGATTTAGTCTACTAACCATCTAAGCTTTCTTAACATCAAATCTCTTTGGTTAAGTAAGTTTAGAGCAATACTAAGTTCATTCAAGCATTTTAACAAACACCTTCCGGGCATAAAATAGCTTAAGGTCTAGATGAGAGTAATCAAGTCTAATCTAGCATTAAAAACACTTAGTAAGCATAGAAACAAGTAGATCTAACAATAAACACCTTGACCCTTCACTAATTATCCTAAATCTACCTAACCCATGGATTCAATAATTGTCTACTCAAAAATCTCCATGATAAACCTTAAACCCATATGAGATTCAAGGTTAATCATATTAATGAGAATGAGAAACAAGATTAAATATGAAGTACTTCATTAAAATGATACAAAGATTCAAGCTTTTACAATGAAATACAAAGTTCTAGAGAGAAAATGAGATAATTTAGGATTTTGGGGATCTAAAACTATATATAGAGAATCCAAATTCGTGTTGGTTTAATTAAATTAAACCGGGTCAAACCGGTTTAAACCGATCAACATTAAGAAATTGTATATTCTCCTTCACAGCGGCCTTCGCTTGCCGTTCCATCTGGCCGCTCCCGAGCTCGCTTCGATCCCAGCGATGTCATCACGTCGCTGCAATCACCCGCTCCAGCTCACGCCCATGATACGGCGACTTCACCAACCCGCTGTGTGTACTCGCTCTGAACCTGCACTAACTCGAGCTTGACTTCTCTAATCATGGCTGTCGGAATCGAATCTCCACCGTGAAATCGCTATCAACCCGAGCTCTGATTCTTCTTCCTTGTCTCAGTCTTGGCTCGTGGTGGTAGCTGAGTTTGTGTTCCGCCCACAACCATCTCAGAAGCTTCTGAATCTCAAGGTCAAGCAATCCCGACCATCTCTTCATCATCGAATTCAAGTTCTCAGATCGTGGCCGAGCTCGTCGGTTGTCTCCGGTGCTCGAGTCTTGCCGTCGGAATCGTATCTACAGACACAAGAAGCTCGTGAGCTCCCATGGCCAATTCCTCCATTATTGCAAATCTGGTCCTTCCCATAATTGCCGAATAGACCCTGAACTTCTGTTTATTTATGCTTGTAGCCCCAAACTTTGGAAATTGCAGACACATCCTCACGAATCAACCTCTAAACTTCCAAAAATGCATTTTAAACTCTGTTATATGAAATTATGCAATGCAAATGAAATATATGCTCTTAATATGCAATCTAAACACCTAAATGAAACTTAAAACACTAATATGATTAAAAAAAAAGAATATTAAAAGCCATTAAAAACACTATATATCAAAAACCCACTGCAAGCTACAGTAGCTACCCATCTATGAAGAGCTACCCATCTAAATCTTCATTCTCTGTTGCTGAGATCTTGACTCTTTGGAGTTTTTCACTTTCTTTGTTGCACAAATGCCTACTGGTATCTTATTCTTTTGCAACTTTTGTTTCTTTGCATAATTCTTGCTAGCCTTTGGCTATGTATAACCTTATTCAATAATAGACAAAGCGTTAAAAAAAAAAAAATCTTTGTTATTGCAAAAAGTTTTAAAATGTAATGTGATCAGAGAGAGCTAGTCAAAATTTGGAAATGCGACATAACTTCTCTTCGGACTTCATCTCTTTTCACTTTACCAGTTGTTGTCAACGGAAACTGTTTCTCCCATCGGACAAACCTCTTTGGAATCTTAAACCTGTCCAAATTTCATTCATCTCATGAATCAACTGACTGCATATAACAGAATCAATAAATTTTCTTCTTTTTGTCAAAATATCTTACCCTGTTAGATTATTTGTTCTGCAATGATGCTTGAGTGCCTCACTAGACAGTTCTGAACCTCCTCGGTTGCGGTTTTCGACATTAGACCATAACCAATTCTCTTGTAAACGAACACAAGCAACGACCATCTCACCAAGACGAACATCCATGATTCCTATGACCACTGCAGACACAATCCCTGGATGCTCTAACAGAACAGCTTCGACCTGCACATATTATATAATGGATTCAGTCAAAAAACTTGAGGCTACTATTGATAACTTTCTTGTGTTGGAACTTGGAAGTCTAACCTCTTCAGGGTAAACATTCTCGCCCCCAGTTTTGATTCGTCCATTGGACCGTCCGATGAGCCATAAGTTACCAAACTCATCAATGGTCCCAATATCACCTGTGTCAAGCCAAGCTCCATTGCTGCTTTCTTGAACTACTTCATGACCCCAATATCTAAGCATTGTATGTGGTCCCCGAGTTCGAATTTTCCCAACCCTGAGAGAATCTTCGTCAAGCTTAACCATCAGTTCAATATGAGGAGCAGGCTTTCCGACACATGTGCCTTGCTTTGGTCGGTTAGCCAAAGGATATGTCGTTTTATAAGACTCTTCTGTTGTTGGATCATAGAGAGTCATGAAGGTAAGCGAAGAGCACGCTTCTGTCATCCCTTTAGACCAAACCAAAAACCGCAAAGAGCTTCTCAGTGCATAAAGATCAATGAAAATGGTTGACTTAAAAAGACAACAAGAACTCACCATATGCTGAGAATATTTTTGCTATTGAGAAGATCTTTGCAGCATCTTGTAGAAGTTCGCTTGATAAAGAACCTCCTCCATTTAGTATCTTTCTTACACAGCTGTTTTGAGCTCCATTTTTCATTGTCCTTAGGAAACAATAAAGTTTCAGCTCATCAACAGTTCTTAAGACCAATACGTACTTCTCATTTGTCTTGTTTACCTGTTGACAGAAACAAGATCAGCCATCATAGCTGGGACAGTGATGAAACAAGTCACACAGTGCTGTTCCATAACTTGGAGAGCTGTTTCAGCATCAAACTTTGGCAGCAGAACATGGCAAGCCCCGACCATTAGCATGGCCATGGCTGATGATAGACCGCCAATATGAACTAATGGTGATGTATGCAAATACACCTGCAGAAAAGAAAATCACACCACAAGCAGAGAAATTGAGAAACTCTTTACTTAAAAAGAAGGAAGAATAAATTCAGCTCTGTGGAGTTCAGTGATGATAAAGAGATAAATGGAGGTAAAGGGCGTACGTCATCCTCACCGTAGCCAACAACAGCAATCTTGGCTAGAGACTGTGTGATGAACGCCAAGTGGCTTATCGTCACACCCTTAGGTCTTCCCGTTGTACCTATTACCAAGAAGAAACAAAGGGAAAGTAAGTAAGCTGAGGATTACTAAGGAGGAGAATACAAGAAGAAAAACTCAACATAGTTGTACCAGAAGTGAAGCATATGACAACAGCATCATCAGGAGCCCAAGCGTATGTCGGTAAGGAATCCACCAAGACATTCTGTTTAAGCATCTCGGTGGTCAAAACTGTTCGTTATCAAGACAATCAGGTCATTAGCATTATCTCCTAACCATTGAGGTTTTTGAAGGTTTATAAACAAATCATACATTGGTTATGTTCACTTGCAAAATCTGTTGAGGTAGACTCCATCAACACACGCCATTTTAATGAAGGTATATCGATATTATGTACATGGATGCACCACGAGACACATTTCTCATCGGTGACCAAGAGCACAGGTTCTACTAGCTGCATCCCCAGTTTTGCTTCTTTCAAGCTCTTACCATTGGCCAAAAAAAAAAAATACAAAAAGGATCTTTCAAGAACTCTCTTTCACACAGACAAAAATCTTTAATCAGCAGACATGTGTAAAACGTTTTTCTTTTGACCATCACATAATTTCAGAGAAGACTAGAGTTAAAGAAAGTGATTACTGACCCATCTGTAATTCAACGGAGCAACTATTCCTCCAACGAATGCAACAGCCAATAACCACTCCAAGAACAAATCACTGTAATGACAAAAAAAAAAGAAAAAAAAACACACACACAGCCAAATTCAAATTCACCGTAAAGGAAGTCAACGTAAAAAAACAATGCGGTCAACGCTGGGAGCCCAAGAAAAATGAAAACGTGTTGATAAATTAAGCATTTGACCTGTTAAGAGCAGCGATAGATACGACGTCGCCGTTTCGGAGACCGAGACGAATCAACCCTCCGGCGAGTCTCAATACGCCATCGACGAACTCCCGGCCAGTGCGCCTACGTTGACCGTAGACTGTGACAACGGCGTTTCGTTTGACGGAGGCTAAGCGAGTCAAACAGTGGCAGATGTGGGGCCGAGAGTAATCAGCCATTTCGAAGAAGGGAGAATCCAGAAGTTTGGAGATATGTTTTTACTTCATCGTCGGAGAAGAGAGAAAAAGGCGCGGGATTTGTAGATATTCTTCTTCTATTGATGACGTGGCAGTACATGTCATTGCATAGACCACCTCTCCTTATCTTATCTTGTAAGAGAAATCTATCTTAGTAGAATCGGCTACGATGGTATTTGGGCCAAGTCCACTGTCCAGCATCATAGGTAATTAGTTGTACTGTAATTAGTTTATAATTATTATTTTGAAGATGAAGATCAGAGTTGTGTGTGGAAACTTTAAACAAACAACTTAACAATGAGTTGTAGAAATTATCACCAACAACAAAACAAATTGTTTTTCTCATTGGCGGCGAAATGATTTTACGAAGATAGCTCAATTTTACTTAGATTTTTCGTATTGAAATTACAGTGTTTCATGTGTTAATTTTTCTAAGATAAATTTAATTTATTTTGTTGCTTGAATCGAATAGAGCAAGCCGAACCCGCATTAAAAATAATCATAAAAGCCAATCTAATTGTTTCAAGAAAAAAAAGGTTTATAGCAGCTGATAAAGCTTCCTCAAAAAAAAATTTAAATTATTTAACAATGTTGGTAGTCATACTGTTGTATTTGTTTGAATGTGCAAAGCATCGAACCGACTTCTTAAAATTTGTGCATGTTTTCTAAATATGTAGACAAATGTGGATTAGTATTTATGTGAGATGAATATCTAACTGAATTCATAGAAAGTATATGTATCTTATGCATTTTCTACAAAAGACAACAACCTGATTTTCTTAAGCTTAAGTTTGATATTATTATTTTTGAAATGGTTAAAACAAAGAAAAAATACAAGGTTTTATGCATCTGGGATATATAACTTAGCTCTTTGAAGAATCAGGTTTTAAGAAACTTTGTTGTCTTAGTCAAATACTCCAAAATGTTAGGATATCAGTGAACGTTCATATCTTGTGCACTAGCTCATAATAAAATTCCATTAAACTCTCCATACATAAGATTGTGAACTTAATATTTTATTCTCTAAGATTGTTTGTAGTTGATTTAAACACCATGATGTATTCTAATTTGTTAAATATTTTAACTTTGGTTTGAGCAAACTTTTTTCCTCAAACATCCTGTTAATGAATGGCCTTATGCCCTCTACTCTGGCTTCATTGATAGTACTGATATCATGGATCACTTGGGAAACTCTTATGAATTGATTCCGTCATTTATAGATAAGTTGACCATTAGGGACTAAAATATACTGCCAAGAGTGACGGTTGTATATTCAAAGATTCGTAAAGGAAAAATAGTAATGTTCCCTTAGAAATCGATTGTCAGCTTGATGACCCTATAATAAATGAAATAATTGTTGTCAGTCCTCCGGGGAAACAAGCTTTGAATATATTGTAGGTTTTGCATGCTGAAAGAGAAGAACCTCAATCTTTCTTTTTCTATAGTTGTTGCTCAAGTTCTAAAACGAATACTTCTGGTGGCTTTATTTGTCGCATGACATTTGAAATAAAGAGAAGTTTCAATTCTTTGGTAAACTGAATATGAACGAACTGTAATTGAATTATGAGAATTAATTGACATCAAAATTAACCGGAAACCAGCTTAAACCGTGAAATGGCGCCGAGAAGTACTATTTTGTATGAAGTCGAGCTTTTTGAAATTAACTTTTAAGAAAATATAAATTGTTATTTATAAATATTATGTTATATTGTGTGATTAATATACTGAATGTTTATTTCATAAACCACTTAAACTTGTTAAGATTATGATTTTACCCAACACTTTTGATAAAATTGGACTTTTACTAGTTATTACTTCAACAGTTGATATCATCATGACATTTATACGCATAAGACAAGAAAGTTTTTACAGATAAAAACATCATTTAAACATGGCCAACGTCTACAGCAAGTTGAGCATTTAATAATAATTTCTATATTTTGTATTTTGTTTGTGTTTGGTGAATAAAAATTAGTGATGATTTGTTTAATTTGATCGGAATTCTGATTTGTTTGGTAAGTAAAAAGTTTTATCCATAGTTCCTATGGAGGAATTTTTTTATAAAAGAGTTCCATTATATTGTTGTTAACACTAGTATGGTATATTAATATTATGCAAGTTAAGAAAAAATAGTATTACTATTTATACATATGATCAGCCATAGACTAGTGATATAATCACTTTTTTTGCCAGCTCCTTCCTCCTTGTCCTAGGAGGCACTTCTCGGTGCTAAGTATAATCACTTGAGCGGGAACTATTAGTGTCTGCCACCAAAAAAAAAAAAAATTGAACATTAATGAAACTTATCACATACAAAATGTTAAACAATGTGGTTGTTTTTTTATATATCCTAACTAGGGCCAAACCCGCCCTACGGGCGGGTATACAAATGAAAACAAATATATATTAACTGATAAAATGTATTTTAAAATATTTAGTTTAGTTTAAACTTCTCAGTGTAAATTATATTAAAGTGACTATTTATTATTATTGTTGAAAGTAATAAGCTTGTTTAATTTCAAAGATTTATGATGCAATTGTCATTATTTCNAAATATATGAATTATAAATTATTTCTACTTTTTATAAATTTTTTTAATCCATTGAAACTTTCAGTTTCTTTTATACCTTTTTAGATAAGTTTCATGTTTTCACTCGTTCCATTTTATACCGCATATGTCTATTTTGGTATTTGTGATAAACAGTAGTAGTTTTATCTGGATTTTGATTTTAAGAAAATGTTTCCCTTTTTATTACATATATAAATTTGGTGCTTTTACCTATTTGGTTTGGTACAGTATCATAAGATTTTCGATTAATATCATAAATACTAATTTTCATTTTTGTAGTAATACAACAGGGGTCTTCTACTTTGTAGGGTTTTGCTATGGCATGAAATGGTTGTTTTGATAGTTCTTATTGACGTCAAGTAACACTCAACATTGTTGTTTTAAATTTATAAAGTAATTGAACTTTATGAAGGAATTCAGGTTGAAAAATATATGTTAAATTTTGCTAAAATAAACGTGAACTATTTTCAGTTTAATTAGCATTAATTTTTATTATTTTGTTAATAATAAATAGCTAAAACTTATTTCATTGTTGGATGTAGAGAGTATATAGTTGTTTTCTATTGTCAATATTTTATTATAACATGATTTAAACATATGTGTGACTGTTTGCGTGACGGTTTTATAGTAGCCAGACATTAATATCTTGTTTGCCAAGCAATCTGTGGATTATATATTATTTTTCTGCAGTTGCTGTGTACTTGTACGGTTGTTTTTAAAGCAACTAGATCTTTTGGCCGCGCTACGCGCGGCTAGTTTCTTAAACAAAATTTTCAATCATATTGTTTATATATAATATATTGCATAACTAAATTTATAATTAAAAACAGAAAAAATAGAATGTTAAATTAAATAGAAAAAGAAAATGATTAACAAAAACTATTCGTAGTTAATGCAAGTAAGAATTTCATAAGTAATACTAATAATCAACAAATTTTTTTATGATATATAGATTTTCTAAATTTTTTTAATAGAACTCTCATTTTATCTTTGGTATAAATAACTTACATAATAATTACTGTAACATTTTAATCTGTAGTTTTATATTTTATATCTTCAAAATGTTGGTAGAAAATAATCACTATCAAACTTTGAAAATTAAGGATATAAAATGAATTGACTTTTATTTAAATTTAAAATGATATTATATAAAATTTAAGATTGTATATATTTTGTTGTTATGAATAATGTTTATTTATTAATAAACTGGACGATATTAATACTAAACCGAATTTGATCCAAAAAAAAATACAAAACCGAACATTGACTTTACATTGCAGTTAGGTCAATGGTCACACCGGTTCAACTGGGTTGTAAATTGAATTTAATTTTAAGTTAAGTATTATAATATATGTATAAATATAAAATTATTTTAATAAGACTTTTTATCATTGTTTGAAGATGAAATGATATGGAAATAAAATGATCACAACTCGGAAAATTCAATATTTTTAATGAAAATATTAATTATATATATTTTTCAAGAAATCAAAATTTACATCCCAATAGTTTGGATTCTCCTTTTAATATTTACGACATATAGAAAAATATAAATTATGTGTATACTTAGATACAAAGACAGATTAAAATTCAACACATTTTCAAACATTATAATTAAGAAAAAAATATTACATCATTCTAAATAAAAAGAAAATAGAGCTCAAAAACAAAGAGAATAAAGCATATTCTAACTTATTTTCCGTTTGGTTTAGCTGAATGACTATTTTAGGTTTGTGTAACAATATTTTTAAATAACATACACTTTTTGCTATCTTGATCCAAACATTAGGAAGTAATAAAATCAAGAAAATAACATAGAAAATAATTAAAATATTAAAATAAAACGGGAGAAATTTTTTTAAAAAAAAATCAAAAATAGAAAATACAACTGAATAAAAATCATAACCAAACCATTTAAATAATAATTAAAAATAAAAACTGAACAAATTTAAATGTCTTTGTTATTAGACTTGGAATGCTTGCAACATTGTATATGATGTTATTAGTGAGACCGATACAAGCCAAATTATGTTGTCGGTACAAATGTTGAAACATACTATTAGTTTAAGCATACGGAAAAAAAAATTGTTTTAGTGAATCATGTTTGATTACAGCATAAAACATTTTACTACTGATATAAATAAACGTATCAGAATAAAGCTGGTTTTTTTTAGAAGTGTCTTTATTTAGGTTCTTGTATAATTTCTTCAAACCGACGGAAGTATCTCTATAATATTATTTGAGAAGTCACTTTCTAATGTGTCGCGCTCACGTTAACTCTCACGCTGGTTGATTACTATGATACCCTTAATGAATTAAAAAAAATACATTTAAATATTATTTTTTTTTTTAATTTTTTTTTCCAAATAACTATATAAAATAAAAAGGAAACATGTATAAGATTTACAAAACTTTTTAAAAACAAAAATATAAGTATATATAAATATGGTTTCATAAAAATGGAAAGTTCACAAAATAGTAATATTTAATTTAAATATATTTTAAATAACATAAAATATAATTTTGAAGTAATAAAATACTTTATAACTATATCTTCTTAGATAAAAAAAAATATTTGTATATAATGTGATTCCATAAAAAAAAAGTTCACACAACTAATCTTTATATTAGAAAAAGAGATATTTTTTATTTTAAAAATAATTTTAAACAATAAATATATATATTTTCAAAGTATTTTTTTGTATATATCTATTTTATTAGATGATTACATAAAATAATTAAGTAACATAAAATGATGTATGTTTAATTGACAAAAAATTATAATTAGTATTCTTGAAATATATATATTTTTATTTTAGTGTATTTTTGACTATAATATCTTACAATTACAGAAAAAATAATAACCTGCATAAATGCAAATAAGACAATGAATCAAAAATTTAATATATTTAGAATAAAAAAAAAATTATAGTTGAATTCAGAGAAATAGATAGAATATAATATATCTCAATGATAACTAAATCAACCGTAAAAACAATAAAACTGACGAAATATAACATATCTAAAATTATATATAATTAAATTAATATAATATTATTAATATAAATTATATCTACAAATTATAAATTAATTTTAAATTTGAAGTAAATATCAATCAATTATTATAATATATTTATTTTAAATATTTATGTCCGTGCATGAGCACGGGAAAATCATCTAGTTTTGTTATATATGAGAAACAACCACTTAACAGAATATTAATTGAAGTATACAAATTTACATCCAGAAACGTTTTTAGTATTAATAAAATTTTTGGTTCTTGTGTAATTTCTCTGAACGGATAAAATTCAGTTGTATTTTTCTTAAAAAACCTGCAAACAATCAAAAATATACAAACTCGTTATGTAAAACATGTTTATAAATTTTGACATTACCGACAAAAAAATGGAATTGGAAGTCTTTCTCTGAGTGGGAGGGTTTTGTAAGATGTTTGGAAAGAGATACACAGTACTGAATCAATCAGACAACTCGAATCTTGAATCTTTATCAGTTTTTCTCAATACAAATAAGAAGCCATGGACCCTGTCAAACAAAGTAGTCTGCCTCTTCATCATAATACAAAACATGAATAGTATCATGATGATGATGATGATGAAGCATCTTGACAGGTATATTCGGTTAAAGCCCGACACAAGTTGAAAACTAAAGTGTTTAAAGACTAATCTTATTATTAAACTTCTCGTCCTCTTTGGATCATATTGTTTCAAAGTACATAAACAAATCTCTCAAAGCTTAAATGGCCAAGTACCATAAGTGATACCAAAACAAAGTCTTCACCGGTGTGTAAAGTTACAACTCTTTTACACTTCAGTTGTCGATATACAAAACAGGCTTTACATTTCTGCACAAAAGTCCCACACTTTTAAATCAGACAATGTTACAAAAAAGCTGAAATAAGGACAAAAGTTAAGAACTATATTACCTAGAGATTCCGAGATTAAAGATTCATTAGCCGTTTTAAACTTAGACTTGAACTCCATGTGCAAAGCATAAGCTATGTAAGACAAAGCATGTGTCTTTCCAATCTCAATATCTCATTAACCTCCAGAAACTTGTAAATCACTTCCGCATCAGCACAATGCTCCGCCTTCAGCAAAAAAAAAGCCACTTTCATTTAGTACTCTTCCATACAAAAGAAAGATCATTGAAGGAGCTAAAAAGAGAGAGAGATAGAGAAACATTATTACATATTCTAACCAAACTTTGAGATACGAAGATCACCCTTGTAACGCTCCGAGTGCCAAAAATTACTAACGCGGACTCCGGATATCCACCAGCGATCAACGGTTGCATCCAAGCTTGCCCACTACCTCTCTTTGCATACATGACACACCCTTACGATACTGATCCAGCTTCAGATTGGCTGCAACCGTTACTTAGGACTCTTTCTTAACCGGATAGTTAGGACATCCTATTATTACCAACAGAACTTTACCATCCTCAATCAGAGCCAAAGCAACAGCGTACCGATCACCACGAACAAAACCTAACGTCCCATCGACGGGGTTCTGAACCCAGTGTCTTCCGTTGGAACTTCCGACAGATTGCATCGACCAATAGCATTTAGAATTTCAGTAGATTGCAAGGGTTTGTCTGGCTTGGGAAGACCGTATTTGTGAGCTTCAGACAAGGCTTCATTAACAGTGTTGGAAACAGCACCTAAAAGAGATAATGACTCTGACTTGAAGAGGGACTCAGTGTCCTCTTCAGCGTCGGTGGAAAGGTTCTGAGTACCAAAAATCTCAGCTAGAACCCAGCTTACTATCGCTTGAACACCCCAATCCGTTAGCCAACAAAGTCAAGAAACCACTGTTTAATACCATCAGAGTTCCAAAAAGAGATGAACCAATCACAGTATGATAGCTCATTAGTCACAGAACTTACTTACATGTATGAAACTCTGACACTAAACACACATATACACTGGCATTTTGTCAGATGACCACACACTTTCGCTGTGGGTAGCAGGAAACAAAATTAAGCAACAATGGACACACAGAACCTTCAGTAAAAAATACTAAATTATATTTTTCACTATTTAACTACTAATAATGCAAACAGTCATTTGTTCAAAGTCCGATTACATTACCACTAAAACAACATAAAGTGTGGACTTTTTTTGAACATTGTGTTTCATGTTCAATGAGCAAAGGACACAAGTGACTCAAGCTCAACTCAGGGACAAAGATTAGCAAATCAAATTGCTTTCACAAACATTAACAGAATTTAATATCACATATTCATTAATAACCCTGAAGAGAACTTAAACGGATCTCGAAAACGTAGAAACACATTACTATGGATAGATAAAATATTATATTTTAAAAAACCTGCGCCAGTGACAGGGGAATCATCATCCTTGGACTTAACGTGGCTACCGTTAGTGGAGGAAGGAAGACGAAGCTTATCCTGTACTTTTAAACACATAGAAGAACAGCCGTGTCCATCTCCCTCGCTAAGGATTCCACCGCTGCCATCGCCGGCGAAATCTGAAGTTAAAGGACGGAGGAGGAGGAGATAAAATTATCAAAAAGCTCCACATTTTTCACATGCTCTCTCTCTCTCTCTCTGTATAACAGCCCCGAACACTCTCCACCTGGTGGAAACGCCTCTTGTACCCATTTTATACACCTGAAGAAAAGCTCTGATTGGTTTCAAGAATCTCTATTTTTCATAAAGTTGCGTTTTTTAAGGAAACCCCAAAAGCAAGAACTTACTGGATCCATGGGAAGAGGGTCGTCGCCGTACTCTTCATATCTTCAATCAACTTCCTAATCAATGGACAAAAACAGAGGACGCGATTAGAATTGAAACGCGAAGAGACATATATGTGATGAAAGTTGAAAGCTTTATATCTCCATTTCTCGATGAGTGTATTTCTTAATTGGTAGTCGGTGTGAGATTTAAAGCGTGGTTGAGAAGATTTACATTGCGTCCTCTATTTGGAGATCTGACGTTCTCCTTGAAAAGCTCACATTCGTGTTTGGTCTCTTGGTTTGAAGAGAAGAACTTCGAGTTGGGATCGCCGATGGAGAGGCTGCAAGAGACCGCCGCTTCGCCTCTTGCTTTCATCGAGTTGGGATCACCGGATGAATATACTATCGAGAATATACAACCACTTTTAGTGGAAACGAAATCATAGTGTGAAAGCAAAAATAATCCATGAGATTAAAGGGAGAACATGAGTGGAGAGTGTATTGATTGTTTGTAGATCAGATTCACGAAGCGATGGTTTTGAAGAGGAAGAGAAAGGGTTTACGAAACGATTTTACAAAATTAGGGTTTGTAAAATAAGCCTCGCGGCCAGGATGCATTATGGGCGTTATGGGTTACTCCGAAGTTGAACGATGCCGGGCCTTTGAAAATTTAAGCCAAAATGACGAAAATGAGGCGCTGACATGGCAAAAACCAGTAGTTCTATTGGTCAATTATTTAGTCCAACGTGGACAGCTCCAAAATGCTTTATTATGAACTTTTAATAGAGTTAGATTTGTGGTATATATTTTATTAACTGAAGAGGGTCGGAAGTGAAATTTTTTTTTAAAAAACCAAAGCATGCAACTCTTCGTAAAATAGAGCTGTGATTGTAATTTAAAAACTTAAAAAAGGTTAAGAAATGCAAGAGTCATTGTCAAATAACTAAACAGTTGAATTTCTCAGCTTTTTGTAATAAAAAGATTTCGGACATCTCTCAGAGAGTTCATTCGTACGGTTAACTTTTTGGGGCATGATTAGCAACAAATTGCATCCGTATACATCGTGCGCCAGGTAGTATTCAAGGAAAGGCCACCTTATTTTCCTCCAGCACTTGTTCACTTCAGCCATGTTGGTGCGCCAATTCTGGCCGTCCATATATATCTTCCCTTTTCAAGCTTACCTGTGCAAAGATTGGCAAAAACGTAAAGATAAAGAACCGTTGTTGGCTGCTAGATTTAGGTCGCGGAAGCCTTTTCTGGTGTTCCTAAAACTGGGATGCCGCTTGTCTGAAGGAAAAAAAAGACACAGTAGCCTTTACTAACTTGGTATTGAATGAACACAACTAAAACAAAGTTATGTAAAACAGATTGAACAAAACAGACATTTTAAGCTAACAAACACCACTCTAATATGCTTTGGAGTGGTTAGACACACTCATATAACAGAAGTAAAACTAATACAAAGTATCAGTGGAAAAACTATAAAAGCTCAATCAAAAAGAGGTACCTTTGAGTCTTTGACATCCATTTAGTGACTTCTTTCACTCCATCGATGTTGAGACAAATCTAAAACATATATATTCATGCGGTTTCAGATCAGAGCCTCTTAGATATAATTCAAACCGTACAATTCACCAATAGCTCGTGGCCAACTGGCCATTCAGCTTCAGTATAGCAAGCTTCTCAGGTACAATATCTCATCAGGAGTGTGAATACTAAGTCCAATCATAAAAATGCTACTTCTCTCCTTTATATATCCTAATACCCTACAAAAGAGGATGAGGAGAGCAAATTTAATGACAAAACAGCTTCATATTACTTACAATGTCACGCACATCATTAAAAGCTTCAAAATTCATGATAAATAACATTGTTTTGACCCACGATGAAAACACTAAAAGAATTGAATCGGAGCTTCAAGGAAACCCAGGAAAGAGACAAAAATCGCATTAGACGCATAATCAGAAGGAGAAAGCTCGCAATGTGCTCTCTNAAACCCAGGAAAGAGACAAAAATCGCATTAGACGCATAATCAGAAGGAGAAAGCTCGCAATGTGCTCTCTGGATTAGACCACGGCTGCATCTATTGTTCCTCAGAACAACAATGAAACCCAATGGAGTCTGTGAAGTTTGTACCAAGAAGAAAGCTTATCGTTCTCCTTCCCTATCCTTCTCTGTCTCTCCATCAATGGCTTTTCTTTCCAACGTCGTCTCTCACCAGATTCTATCTTTCCACCCTCCGCCTCTTAACCGCAGCTTACTCTTCATAAAACCCAAATCACTCTTCAGCCGAACCATTTCCAGAGATCTCCGCATGCGCTTGCATTCTGAAACCCGGAACATGGCCGCTAAGGTCGGGTTGTTCATCAATCTCTAGCGTTTAGCATAAAAACTCGATCTGAAATTTCTGGGTTCGTGATAAAGTTGCAAACTTTGGTTTCTGAATACTCGTTTTCAGCAATGCAGGAACTGATACCTTCTTCAATTGATTCGAAGTTGAAACCTCTGGAAGCTAGATCCAAGAATCTCGACAAACGCATCACACAAATAGACACAGTAAACAACCGGATTCAAACCATATTTCAAAGAGAAAAACATAATATCGAAATCACCAATCCTAATAAATATGAATCTAAGCACAGATGTGTTCAAAACAATGATGAATATTAAGAAAACAGTTTCTAATGTATAGGATTGGTGAGGATGATGTTTATGGGAAAACACATACTTTTTTTTNCATCACACAAATAGACACAGTAAACAACCGGATTCAAACCATATTTCAAAGAGAAAAACATAATATCGAAATCACCAATCCTAATAAATATGAATCTAAGCACAGATGTGTTCAAAACAATGATGAATATTAAGAAAACAGTTTCTAATGTATAGGATTGGTGAGGATGATGTTTATGGGAAAACACATACTTTTTTTTATTTTTTTTTGAGCAAGAACACATACCTTTTTATAGTAGAATATCAGAGCAAGGAAGTAATGGTGGACAGAACTTATGGGGCCCCATCATGGGGGTTACATTAAATTATGAATCGTGGGAGGAGTGGAGAGCAATCGTAAAAGTTTGGTAAAGACGACGCCTGGACTCAGGCTGAGTCTGTAACGTCTCAAATTTACGTCTCTGGCTCAAAGACATGGGCCACTTTCCATTTCATAAAAGCCCATACGAATTTAATTAAAACATTGAAACACTATGTAAAATCCACGAAAATTCAACAGAAACAAAGAGCGCTTTCCTTTTGCCGGATGTCATCTCCTCATTTCATTAATTACTGACGTGGCTCTCCCAAGAGGGAGATAACTATACTTTATATATATAGATGTTGTCAGTTTTTTTGTTTATTCATTGGTCTAGAATTTAGATTTTTTTTTTTCATTTCAGTTGAGGAATATCTAACTGAATTCATAGAAAGTATGAGCATATTATGCATTTTTTTACATACAACAATCAGAATTTCTACTACTTAGGTTTGATATTATTCTATTTGAAATGGTTGAAGCAATGGAGTTCAGTCTGAAGAAAATACAAGGTTTGATGCATCTGAGATCATATAACTTAGCACTTTAAAGAACCATGTTTGAGAATCTTTGTTTTCTTATGAGTGATAGTTCACATCTTGTGATTTGATCCCAACAAAATTTTATTAAACTCTTCTTTTATGAATATACCATCTATTTAGTCACTCTCCTCATGGAAGAGAAACTCTCTTATTGATGGACTAAATGCAACAAAAGTATATATGAACTTATCAACATCATTCACCTCAAGACAAATGAACAATCCCGAATTTCTATAACTTTGACAACAATTTTGATAAATTGTAATAGTTGTCTTCACGTGTTCCTCTAATCAAATTATGAGCTTAATCTTTCACTCTTTAACCTTGTTTGTAGTTGATTTAAACATCATGATGTGTCCTGATTTGTTAAATCATTTGTTTTTGGTTTGAGTTAGTCTTTCTTTTTTTTTCTATAGTTGTTTCTCATGTTCTAAAACATGGCTGCATCAACTTTTTACTCGGCATTTGAACGCAAATTGTATTTCGACTGAGGTGATTTGGGTCAAATCGCCTCAAAACTCGGAAACCTAAAAAATCAACTTTTACTGAAATTCTGAGTTTGAAGTCATATGTATGTATGAAAGTCGATGATATCTAGGTAATAAAAATAAGAAAACAAATTTGAAATGTGAAAAAGTCTATTTTCAAAGCGAAACTAGGGTTCTTGTTCGACGGATACCGAACGAAGAAGATGGAGATATTTTGGTAATTTTGTTTCCATTAATAAGAAAAACAAAATTATTAGCCAAAACGCTCTTATTTCCATGAGTTAAATAACAAGGGCACAACCACTATACTATGTTAGACTCATACGTTCATTATATATATAGTATATATACGTAAAAATAAAACAGAAAACCTTAAAACTAATCTTCGTTTAATTCCAGCATAATTCCTGATTTTTTCATTATACGGTAGGTCCAGTCCGAGTATTCGAGGAACGCGTAGCAAATTTCCAAACAGAGGTTGTTGCACAATAAGCTTCCTATCAACTACACATATGCTTTCTTATGGGTTGGTGTTTATGTGTGTTGTGTCATAAGTGTGCTCATGGACATAATTTTTCACCACAACGCAATCATAGGAAAAAAGAAAGGAGTTTAGCATGTGCATTTATCATCAACACAAGCTAATACCAATTTTGACATGTTTGACAAAAGAGTCTCAACTCAAACTTCCACTCTAATATTCATTTTTTATCTTCAACATTAAATTACCCTTAATCTTTAATTAGGGCAATTCTCTCAAATAGACATTTTTAAGTTTTTATCACAAAAATAGAACTCAAAAACTAAAATGACCAAAATAAGATTTTTTATTTGAAAATTTGAAGTTTTTTTTTTAAATTTGAAATCATATCTTCAAAACCCTAGTATTCAACTCTAAACAAAAAAATCTACGAGTAGTTAACCTAGAGAGTATAAGTATATATTTACTTACTTTTGATAAACATTTAAGCCTATTTTAATCATTTTTATTTTTGAAGTCTATACCTATGACAAAAACTTAAAGTTTTTTAGGTCTATGATTGAGAATTTTTCCTTTAATTATCTAGTTACCTTTATATCACCAGCTCTTATAGTGGTTAACTAAGAGGATCTGATGGCGGTGAAGTGAAGGCAACAAAGTTTGTGCCAACGATGTGACGCGAAAGAGATGAAATATCGACGAATTTGGTATGTAAATTTTGATTTAAATTATTTATTTATGAATTTATGTGAAGTGAAAATGATAATCTAACACATTAAATAAATGATAAATGGCTTTTTTTTAATTCTTATGTGATAGTTTATAGATAAAAACTTGTTTAAAGGCTATCTCATACCATTTTCATAACAAATCAATAATGTAGGTGTGATTTCAAAAATCTCTAAATTAATATTAATAAAAACTAAATGTGTACCACAAACTTGAAAAACTTAGCCACCCAATAAGCTTGCTCTAATCTTTACCCCTTAGACTAAAGATTATATTGAACAAAAAGAAAGGTTTGCATTGCTTTATAGAAAGAAAAACCGTGGATACCACTCAACTAGAAATGCTAATCTTCTTGTTATTCTACCGATTGCGCCATTTATCTTCTTAAATACGTATTAAACCACTTTCCAGTGGCTATTTTCTCTACAATACAATCTTGACAATCAAATCTGACATTCACCGTAGCTTAATTCGTTTAAATTCCCGTAAATTTAGGGCCTATCTCCGACAAAGAAATTCACGAGAAATTTTATTTTAAACCGAAATCAGACAAAAAGCGCGAGAGTCGAGAGACACTGTTCTTAGTCGATTTGCTATAATAAACTAAAACATTTGCAATCGATAGGCCATTTGCTAGTTCACGGGATTGTTACTTTTAAACGGCACCGTCTCTACGTGGATGGTATACTTTTTTTTTGTACACTAATATTTCTCATATAAATAGCAACCGGAATGGACTTTGTACCTTGCTTGCAGTAACTCTCTCCAAAAGCACAAAAAGATGACTTCAAAAAGAATCGTTGTTTCTCCACCACAGCTAATCTCATTCATGATCATATTCATCATCTTAGAATCAACGATGACGGCTGATGCTAGAGAATTACGACCGGCGGATCACGGACTCGAGTACTACTACGAACCAGCGAATCAGCATCGGAAATGACGTCCTTCTTCGGACCCCCTTCTTGGAATGAGCTGGATTCATCATCGTCGTCGTCGTCACCGTCTGGCTCCATATTGCCTAGTGCGGTGAAGTCTCCAGTGACGACGTCTTCATCAAAAGACCAAGATGATGATCACGTTGTGAATCACGTCCTGGTTGTGGGGAGCTTCGTGTGCGGACTCACCGGTGTGGCTTTGATGGTCGCTTCTGCCATCATTTATTTTCGTGGACGCTACCCGAAATCACAAAATTCGTCTGTTACTTGTGATCATGATGATACTAAGTAGACGGTTTGTTTATAGTTTTCTGAAACTAATTCTCCAAAATAAAGATGTTTTTTGTCTACATACCTTGTTCTTTATTAATGTGAATCGTTATTGTAGAATCGAAAATCTTTATTAGTTTAGTCTCTTCGGTACCCAAAGAAAGAACGAAAGAAATACAAAAAACGAATATATTTGGTTCGGTTTGAATTTGTTTGCCAATTTGGTTCGGTTATTTGGAGATAATATACAATTACTCAACTGGTTTGATAAGAAAATAATTAATTAACAAAAGTGTCAATAAGCGTCAGTTGGAGCCTTGGAGGAGTCCAAAAGAGGAGAGGAAAGGAGGAAGCCTTGGCCTTTGAGGAGTTTCAAAGGATCGTGTACCTTACTCTATTTATAAAACCCTTATTCCCACGAGCAAAGGATCATACTAGTGCCCCTTTTCATTATTGATTCCGACGAAACTGATCATCATCTTCTCTCCGATCTATAACAATGTCTCACTCTGCCGTTTCTCAGGTCAGAAAGTTTTAGTCAACGATTCTTTTTCGAGTTATATGTTTGTGTTGCGGAGAAAACGAGGGAATATTTTGGAATTTAATGGCCTTGGACTTTTATGATCTTTAATCTGCTTTTGTTTTCCTCCATTAACGATTTTAGCTTAGTATCTATGTTTCTTGAATATAATTAGTAGAGAATGGAGACTTCACTCACTCTCATCTTCTGATTTTTCTCGGGAAAACCAATCACAAAAAAATATATATATATATATTTAAGAGTTTTAATCTCATGTATCTTTCATTTGTCTACAGGCTGCAGCCGTCTCTGTTTCATTTGGTAACGAACGTTCTCTTACAAGATCTGTCTTCAAGGTGATCCATCCAATCTCTTAATTAGTTTTCTATTTTGATCTCTATATTTAAACTTCTCAACAAAAAAAAAATCTAACTAAAGAGATTCAAGCATGAGCGGTGTTGTTACACACATAATCTTGGTTTCAGATTGTCTTAATAATTTTTTGACCAAAAAAAAAATGATTGTCTTAATAATCTGAGTTTGATCTTAACCTTAATACATTTCTTGCGCTGTACCGCTTCTATTCTGCAGCAGAACAGTAGCTTAAGCTTCAACAGCAAGTCATGGTCATCTTCCTTTGCATTGAACCAGAAAACAACTACCATAAGAGATGCAAAACGGTACACAAACACAGTGTTATGCATGTCGGTTCAACAAGCAAGTAGCTCCAAGGTTTCTGTCTCTCCGATAGAGTTGGAAGACCCCAGTGATCCTCCTTTGAACTTGTACAAACCCAAGGATTCTTACACAGCTAAGATTGTCTCCGTGGAGCGAGTCGTTGGTCCAAAAGCTCCAGGAGAAACTTGCCATATCGTGATCGACCATGACGGTAACCTTCCTTACTGGGAAGGACAGAGTTACGGTGTCATCCCTCCCGTAAGTCATGTCCCTTTTGTGCTGTTACATGGTTCTCATTGTCTTCAATTGTCTATTAACAAATTGGACTTTTTGTACGTTATAGGGTGAGAACCCGAAGAAACCAGGAGCTCCACACAATGTGCGTCTTTACTCTATTGCATCAACGAGGTATGGAGATTTCTTTGATGGTAAAACAGCGAGTTTGTGTGTACGAAGAGCTGTTTATTACGATCCTGAGACTGGTAAAGAAGACCCTTCAAAGAACGGAGTCTGCAGTAACTTCCTATGTGATTCAAAACCTGGAGACAAGATTCAAATCACAGGTCCATCCGGGAAGGTAATGCTATTACCAGAGAACGATCCAAACGCTACGCACATAATGATAGCCACAGGAACAGGAGTGGCTCCTTACAGAGGCTACCTACGTCGACTGTTCATGGAAGACGTCCCAAATTACAAGTTTGGGGGCTTAGCTTGGCTCTTCTTAGGCGTGGCCAACACCGACAGCCTTCTTTACGATGATGAGTTCAGTAAGTACTTGAAAGACCACCCGGATAACTTTAGGTACGACAAGGCGTTGAGCAGAGAAGAGAAGAACAAGAAAGGTGGAAAGATGTACGTGCAGGACAAGATTGAAGAGTATAGTGATGAGATCTTCAAGCTTCTTGATAACGGAGCTCATATTTACTTCTGTGGGCTTAAAGGAATGATGCCTGGGATTCAAGATACGCTTAAGAGAGTTGCAGAGGAGAGAGGTGAGAGCTGGGACTTGAAGCTTTCTCAGCTTAGGAAGAACAAGCAGTGGCACGTTGAAGTCTATTAAGCTTCATTTACTTTCTCTTTTCACCCTGTTTACTGTTTTTTATTTCATTTTAAGCTTCTTAATTAAATAATTGAATTGATGTGGTTCGACATGATAATTGTTTGTTTTGATACGAAATATTCTTCGGAATATTCTCAGAGAACGAACAATGTACTGACATGAGTCATATAAGAATAATCTTATCTTAGCTTTTCATGTGCTGCCATAAACCCCAACCAAACGTTTGTAGAATATTACAAAGATATTCGAACCAGTCTAACCAAGAAAAAATGTAGGTAATTTTTTGTATGAATTTTAAAGAACCCTACAATTGTTGTAATATTGAATTTTCCTTGTGAATTTTAGACTGTTTTGGTCTAAACACACAAATTAGCTAACACGATTCCAATTAGAATTTGGTTTGGTGTATGTATAAATCGAGTGCGTGCATGAAGAAACCAAACCAAACCGAGATTTGGTTTCTTTTGTCTCTGGAATCCGAACAAACGAGAACCGGTTCGCTTTCGATGACTCACAATAAAAAAATAATATTTAAATATTTGTGGGTAGCGGGTAGAGGTAGACCCGTAGAAAGCCGTGGACTAAATCAGACAGTGAGCTATTTGGGGCAGGGACATAAGATCTGCCCGTAATCTACTACGTGTCTCTCATTCTCCACTTGTACGATCGATATTGCGTCCGCATCAACTATTTAAAAACCTCGCTGTTTTTTCCACTTCCTGAAGCGGAAAGACAGCATGATGTTTTTGACTGATATAGAAGGATGCTCTGATGTGTAGGGTGTGAAATTGCGGAATAACTTGCGGAAGGGAAGAAAACGACACTCGCTCCTTTTTCTGTTGTTGATTATTTCTTCTCTTTCTTTTCTTTTTCTTCTCGGAGACTTTGAAGAAGAGACATAGAAAATTGCAGTAGGTATTCTTTAATGATTTTTTCTGGTTATGAATTTGTGTGATTTTGATAATCCTGATTCATGATTAACTGCTTTACCATGCCATGCACTTACTGTTTTGATGTTTTCTTCCATCTTTGGAACTTTCAGAGTTGTGTTTTTGGACATTAAATCTGCTCATGAGTCATGGCTTCTTCAGTCCATGAGCTTTCTGGTTCTACTCTCTTTCTTTCTATTTATTTATTTCATGTTTATGTTGCTCTTATTCCAAGTTAAGCTTTCTGAAATATAGACATAAACTTGCTCCCTAGTTCATGGTCATGTGGCTCTCACATGATTCTTGGTGGTGCTCTATTTTGTTAAGTTTGGTGTATTCTTGTCCAGGTAAAATAGAAACTCATGACAAACAAGAACAGAAAGATTCACAATTCAAAATCCAACCACCAATTCCTCCAGCAAGAAACTCTGCAGTCTACTCGGAATTACCTCACTCCATGGTAAAACATCAACTTTGTGTCTGGTTTAGTATTTTGAAACTCTTTTATCTCTGTACAAAAATAATTTGTCTACTAAGTCTCTCTTTATCACTTTCTAATGAGTTTCATCAAATAGTTAAAATCGATATTCCCTTCTAATTTGAACCCAATATATCCTTAGACCTTCTAATTGACAAACTATAGTGTGACGACTTCTTGGCAGGCCGTTCCAGATTTGGAGACTAAAGACAGTTTAATAAGAGATGTAGTAAATTTTGTTGTTAAAAATTTGAAAGGTTATGTTTATGCATATTAACTTTCTAAAACTTTAGGGATCATCATAGGTCAATGTTTCAGCAGCTCTACTTCTTGTGACCATTACTATATATCACTTTGTACATTCTCACACAATATACAAGTAACAGATCTGTTGGTATTACATTGAAGGCACCTCCTGGACACTACCCATATCCAGATCCTTACTATAGAAGCATCTTTGCACCACCTAATTGTGACCCACAAGCGTATCCGCCACGACCTTATGAGACCGGGGTATGCTGTATTACAAGGATTTCTTGATTTGTGTCATGAATGTTAACAGGATTTTACATATAATTTCAGGTTCATGCACATTTAATGGGAGTCCAGCAGCAACAATGTGTGCCTTTACCATCTGATGCAGTGGAGGAACCTGTTTTCGTCAACGCAAAGCAATACCACGGGATACTGAGACGAAGGCAATCCAGAGCAAAGCTTGAATCTCAGAATAAAGTTGTCAAGTCACGTAAGGTAAGAATACTTTGCGTTTTGTTATATTTCCTTACAGACACTTTCATTTGGGTGAAATCATGAGTGTCTATTCGCAGCCTTATCTGCATGAGTCTCGGCATTTACATGCGATAAGACGACCTAGAGGGTGTGGCGGTCGGTTTCTCAATGCCACCAAGAAGGAAGAGGAGCATCACGAAGGCAGTCATGTTGAAGAAAAGTCCATGGCTGCTTCTGGTGGTACGTCGTGAAAGAAGAACAAACACGTAGCGCAGCGGTGTCCTTTGTTGGCTCTGTTTGGTCTCAGCCTTTCGGTGTCTTTAGTGTTATGATATACAAATCTTTGTAGAAATGAATAGAAGGATCTTGCGACGAATTAGACAAAGTCGGGCTTTGACTTGTGATTAAAAATAAAGCCCACGAGGAAAGGAAAATAAAAAGAAACAATGTCATCATGAAGCTTTTGGTTAAGAAACAGTGCTCTACTGATATTGTTTTATTGTAAGATATCTTTGTAATAAAACGAAGAATGAAACAAGAATCCACAATAACGAGCGACAAAAATGGTCTGGTACTATGGCAAGATCACTTTCAAATCATCATGTTTATATACAATATATAGTTTTTTTTATGGTAGAATGACACCTTTCCCAAACTCTAAATGATCTATATAACATTTTTCTATGGCTGGTTATAATCTCTTGAATTTATGGTCTCTGTTAAATTATATTTTTTCTTTTTTTTTTGCTAAAATGTTAAATCATACTATTGTAAGCTCGAGAATATTTTGGAAATTGAAGCAATTAGACAAGAAAGAGTTTGAAATCTTTCATGAATTACTTCTGGCGCAATTAGAAAAAGTAACCTTGGCTTCTGAAAGGTGGCTTTGCACCAGAGAAGAGAAAAAACAAATCTTGTATCCCTAGAGTATGAAAAAAAATCAGAGTAATAAAAGAAGAAGAACATAATAGAAATTAGATTAGCCAAAATAAAAGGAGCAAAAGAACTCGCAAGTAAACTAGGTTTAGGAGTTTGTGAAAGAGATATTCATGTGAGATGCAACCGTTAATTGTGTGGGAGATTCTTGGTTGGTCAAATACGTGTTGTCACATATATATATTAACATTATTGAACGAATCTTGTAAACCGATTGAAGAGATTTTAATAAAAGATATTGATCGTGGCGTGGGATTGCCCTTAACCTGAAATCTATCCTGTACTGTGGTTCTAGGTTTTACAACTATGTTGTTCCACGAACTCTTATCACATCAAACTTTCCTGCCGATTTTCAAAAGTGCTTACTCTAATGCATCTTTCCACGGTGGAAAATTTATAGAACATCTTCACTGAATAATGTCATTGAAATTTTGTAATTTTTTGAAACCATGTTAGAGTTGCTACTGTCATGATCTGTTTCCATGACGGAGAAGTATATATGTTTACATAGGTTAACCTATCAGACTTAGCGATATACAAAATTATTAAAATCTGTAGATATTTTAGTATATACATTACCGAGCACGTTCTCAACAGTAATTAACTCTCCTGAACGAGAAAGGTTAACAACAAAGTCACTCATCAAAATCTTTATTAATCATACAGTAAAACCTTTATAAATTAATAATGTTGAAACTATAAATTTTTATTAATTTTTAAAAGTTATTAATTTATCGTTATATTAACTGAATTAAAAACTTAATTTAAGATTGTAAAACTATATTATTTTATAGAAATTTTTAGTGTATATTAATTTATAGAGTATTAATATAAAAAGTTATAATGTATGTGAATAGTACCTTATAATTAGACTACAATAATCTGTAATCTACTAAGGCATTGATTGGTAACCATGCGGAATGGTGGAATGACTTAGGAAACGCGATTCCGCAAGAATTTTGCCAATCAATGAAATGTTGCGGAATGAAAAAAAAAACGCAACAACGCAAACTTGCGTTTTTGCTGACAAAAATATAAAGAGAAATTTTATTAAGTGGAAAAGTGAGTTTTAGTAGATTATGGTGGAAAGATTTACAAACTAATATTTTCATATTATTAAATTATATGCTAATACTATCTTAAAATATAAAATACATATCAATAATTTTAATGATAAATAATTATGTTGTAAATAAAGTTCTATTATAATTTGTATATCAAAAAATGTCTATTGTTAAAATGTATTGAAAGATATGTTAGATATTTATAATAAAAACTAAAATGTTTTTAATAAATTTTAGTTGTTTTCACATTTATAATAATTAGTTTAATTATTACTAGTTGTTTTTTATAACAAATTAAAAACCATATAAAATATTTTAATCAATTAATATATATTCCGCTATTCCGCAAATTTTNGATATGTTAGATATTTATAATAAAAACTAAAATGTTTTTAATAAATTTTAGTTGTTTTCACATTTATAATAATTAGTTTAATTATTACTAGTTGTTTTTTATAACAAATTAAAAACCATATAAAATATTTTAATCAATTAATATATATTCCGCTATTCCGCAAATTTTAAATTTTTCCACGACTTAATTAATTTTTTCCACAACTTAACTATTATTTCCGCGATTCCGCGATTACGCGATGATTACCAATCGGAGCCTAAGTAACCATGTTACCTAAGTAACCATGTTACCGTGTCCGTAACCACTAAAATGGATGGTCAAGTATTATTATGATGCTAGGAAAAAGGCAATTGTTGACTTTGAGATCAACATCATCGTCGCAAAGGTTTATTTGACATTCATAACTGGAATCTCTCAGGCGACGATATTTTCTTAATTCTTTTTTTGACCAAAAACAAAAGAAATTCATAACTGGAAAAAAATATATAAAAATGATTTTTTTCTTTCACAAATATCTCTTATCATAAGATCGTCCAAAACCTTTTTCCGTATTATTGAGACAAACGCCCACTCAGTATGTGTTCTCGTTTATGATTTAAAGTTGATATAATCTTTTTCAACTAAGTAAGATATCATATTCCTCAGTTACAAAAAAAAAAAAAAAAAAAAAAGATATCATATTCCTTTTTAACTGGTAACATATAAGATCATGTTTAGTACTTTTGGTTCTTGACGTGTCGTCAGTTTTTACTAAGAGAACCTCAGCCTCTGTTGCTTTTTAGTGGCGCGAGATATACCATCGTACGTAAAGTATGCTAGTAATTAATTATAGTATGTTTAGGAAGACTTTATTAAGAAAGAGCTTTTACTTACACCATTGTATGTTTTTGATTTTTAATTTATTTGATTAAGAAAAACTTTATTGTTAAGCATTGTAGATGTTCAATACAAATTAAATTGCAGAAGATGGGGTAAAGTGGGTATATCTGCGACTGCCATGTCGAAAATCGAAACGCATGCACAAAGTAAGAACTCATGATGAGACCTCACATGACCTTCTTCATCCCTTTATTATTTACATTTCCCTATTTTTGTTTTCTTTTTCATATGGAGATATCCTTTTATCTTTTTTTTTTTTTTGGTCAAAGGAGATATCCTTTTATCTAGATGTTAATGTACGGTTTTATAATTGTTAATACAAATTTAGTTTATACGCCTAACGTATTAATATTTAATACCACTTTTTTTTTTGTCGAATATTGAATACCACTTATTTTCTCACTCCGAGAGTTTGCTTCTTTTTTCCCTTCTCGTAGTTTTTTTTTTACTGAATTTTCCATTATCGTAGTTTCTAACATTAATATATAATCGCACTTTTTGGCAATGCCATGTATTAATCAACATAAAATAAGAGGTAAACATAAAATTTATACATATTTATTTATCGAATTCTCTTGACTTTATTCCTCCTTTTAAATAGACAGACAACATGAAATTGATGATGTCGTTTTCGCCAAGATAGCAAGAAATATTTCGTAATGATACAGTTGGCGTTTGGTCGTATATGTTGATGGATGCATTATGTTAAGCTTTTTTCGTGCGTGTTGTAAGATCTCGTAAGGTGTGAGAGCTAGCCTTCTCACTCAGCCGGAGACACAGGCGGATTAGCAACTATATGGATTGCCAATAAGATATATACGCTATTATTTTAAGAAATAAATTTGTTGAGATATCATGTTTGCTAGATTTTAGCTGAATATATTTGTAATAAATAATCTGTTAATTTTTTCATAACTTAAGACTGTCACTAAACATCATAATTGATCATGTTTTTATGATTCAGGCTAACTCATCGCCTTTATTCGATTTCTTTGTGAGTATACATAGGTGATATTTTGTAAAAAAAATTAATAATATCAAAATTAAATTTTTGATCATGTATGATGATTTTTGGGTTTTGTTATTTTCTTGATGTTTTAAGAATTGTGGCGATTGCCAATGCCTTCGCTGTTACAGGAGTTATATTTAATCCATAATTATAAAAAATGTTTGATTTCAAATTCAGTTTATCTAATGATAGTTTGGTTGTTACTAGATAGAAGATTTTCAACATCTACATCATCTAAGCAGAAAAGATGAAAAAAAAAAATTAATTAACACATCAACTATTAATATGGATGATGAATTATATAATTATAATTTATAAATAATTTAATATCTGATATTTGAGTTAGATTTATGTCAAAATTAAATTTATTGGTTATATGTATTACTTCACACAATATGTGTATCCGCATTTAATGTATAACTAGATCATGACTCGTGCATTTGCGCGAGTTTTATTTTTTAGATATATTTTGACCCGCACTTAAAAATGTTACAAATGTTTTATTAATCTGTAAGAATTTTGACTATTGAAAATATTTTACATTTTAAATCATTGTTTTTAATCCCGATTTGAACCTGCGGTCGAACTGGTAAATCTGGCGCTTCTATATATCCCGCTTCATATGAATCTATATATCCGGCGCTTCTATATATCCCGGTTCTGAAATTAATCGTTTAAGTCGATGGGTAGCTGATATGAAATCCAAAATTATAATAATTATGTTCATATGAAAATCAAAATAGTATAACTGGTTATGTTTATTTTACAAGATTTAAAACTGAAATTAGGTATAATTAATCTTCTTAATTTGTTTCATGTTTATGTTAATATGTTATAATAGAAAGATCAAATATTTTTTTTTCAATTTATTTTTTATTTGATAATTATTTTGTATGCCTTATAGAATAACCCATAAATTTTTTAACTGTAAAAACATCAACCATAATTTTTAATAATATAACCAAATATTATTAATTTAATTAACTTTTATATTTTACTTTAAGTAAATATTTTTCTATCCAAGTAAATTTATTTTGATTCTTGTTTATAATATTTCTGAAGCGAACATAAGCATTATTTGTTAAAAAATGAAATTGTTCTTTATAATTAATAACAAATCAAAATTTTTAATTGTAACCGAGATTTTCTGTTTAAAAAAAAACATATACTTGGCATATTCCTAAAGAGTAAGAAGGTATATGTCAAAATTAAATTTTATTTAATAGTTGAATGCGGATATATGTCTAACTTTCTAAACTTGAAGTATAATTATCTGCTTACTAATTATAAGATACCGAAATATCAGTAGCTTCCTAAAAAATAGATATCCGCTATATATC